TTACATCACAGGCCTATAAAACCTCACTTGACAGATTTTGTACAGGCAAAAGCAATGCAAACGCTGAAGATGAAGATGTTTTTATCGTTAGGGATTGCAACATTCTTGTACTAAATAGCATTTTATTTGACAAAAACAATTAATATGCCTCTCCGAACAAGTTGTCAATATTTTTGGTTCAATCAAAAGTATGTGCTCATTTAGTAGTACATTGTATTTTGAAGTTTTTATCTCAGCATTGTTCCTTATCATCATGTAAAGAGATAGGACATAGAGATAGTGTGCAATAGGTTTTGGGGTTTTTATTGTCTTTGTAACACTAGCATTGTGGTGTTTAACGCAGGTTCTCTCTCAGAGAGTGGGCAGTCTCTTTACTCAACTCTAATCCAAACACCGAGGGCTAACAAGTTAATTTGTTGTCTTTTGTCTGTTCCGTGACTGAAAGTAGGCTTTTATTGAGCTTGAACAAAGCACACAATTGAGTATTCACTGCAGAGTGAGAGAGCAGAAAAACCTGCAGCATGTGAGGCCATAACAGAGCTCTACTGCTCTGAGATTGATTTTGTACACCAAGGTTGCACTATGGATCAGTGGTGCTGAAGCTGAAAGTATTTTCACAGCTAATGAAAGTCAGTGAATGCATAGCTAGTTCCATTAATGTCACGGTTAGTGGAAGATAGAGGACCGCTAGTTCTCAAAGCGTAGGTGTGCAAAAGAGAGGCAGCGCACTTCTGCTCGTAGCTCTACTGTATAAAGCCACCAAAGATGCACAATGCAATTCCAGATCGTCTTTATTATTTTACTCCTATTACCTGTCTTGATTCATTCTAGGTGTTCCATGTTTTTCATTATTTCCTTTGTGTGTTTGTGCTTTTGAGTTCTCCTTTTATTAGCTTATTTTAATGTAAAATATTCATTTGGTGTCCCTGTTTTCAACATCATCTGGTTTCAAAAAGCAGAGTATTCAGAATTAGACTGAATGCTGTGTTTTCAAGCAACATATAATCACAGATATTTTATTTATATCAAAGGGGTCATATGATGTTGCTAAAAAGAACATTATTTTGTGAACCCCTTTAATAGAAGATGTTTGTCCATTGAGAGAACTATTAAAAGCCAAGGACTTGTAAACTACCATTCAAAAGTTTGGGGTCGGTAATTTTGAAAATGTTATGAAAAAAATCGCTTATGCTCACCAAGGCTGCATTTGTTTGATCATATTTAAAATAACTGTTTTCTGTTTTAACATATTTGAAAATGCAATTAATACTATAATGGTAAAGCTGAATTTGCAGCGATGTCACATGGTCCTTCCGAAATCATTCTAATATTATGATTTGGCATAACATTTCAAAACATTATTATTATGAATGTTGAAACAAGTTATGCTGCTTACTATTTTTTTTGTGATTTTTTAATAGAAAGTTCCAAAGAATTGCAAATAGAAATGTTTTGTAATAATGCTTAAAATAAAGTCTTTACTGTCACTTTTGATCAATTTAATGCATCCTTGCTAAATAAAAGCCTTTTTTTCCCCCAAAAAAGACGTAGTTTATAGTAAATATAGAACTCTTAAGAGAGGGTAAAAAATTATGTTAAACTAAATGATCACTTTTTGGTGCAAGAATCTTCAGTTAAGTGCTAAAATGTAGTCCTTTCAAATCTAGTAGCGCTGCTATTGTTGTTCTCTTACATATTTCAAGGATGCCATATCCAGTGCCATACATAATCTTTTCAAAGCTATCCACCTGTAATGTTAATAGCCGATTATTAATCTACATATGTTCATTTGTAAGTCTCTGGCCTTTCAGGTCAGTAGACCTTCTGCATCTATTCTCCAGCAGCCAAGCAGTTTGAGCAACGTTTCCTTGAACTTTCTGGTGCCTCTGTCATCACTACAGCAGCAGGCTGGCTCTGCTTTATAATGGCATACGTACATTCACTGCCTGTTTTTTCATATATTTCTATGATGTGGAGGCAGACACACAGTCAGCATAATAGTGTGACTGGTGGTGGGTCTAAGGGGAAGAACATATTTGCACTCATCTTTTCCACACATTCATTTATCATCCCCTGTTTCTCTCATCTCAGCACAAACTAATGGCCCTTAACACTTAATTGCTGTATCAGGCAAGCTCACACACTTTGTATTATGAAGGGGGCAAACCTCAACGGGCGAGCTGAGGCGCCCTAAATAAAAAGCAGTTCATTTTTTGAGCTCAATCTGACAATCTTTGGCTGAGAATATTTAGATGGCAATACATTTGACTTTGTTCTTTTTTCATATGCTGTAAATTGCACATAATTTGTTATAGTTAAATGCTTGCTCTCACAGTCAGGACAGTCAGCATAGCAAGAAATGAGCAAAAATAGGCATAAAAAGAGTTCAAATTATATTTAACTACCTGTGTTATTTAATGATGGACACCTTAGCATCACCTTTGCACATACTAAAACCTATGGAAGCTTGTTTCCACCACAGGATAAAAAAATAATGGTAATTGCAATTTTTATATCACAATTCTGACTTTTTTCTTGCAATTCTGAGTTTATACCTCGCAATTCTCAGAAGAGAAGTCTGAATTGTGAGAAATAAAGTCGCATTTGTGAGACAAAAAACGGTAATTTTTTTTTTTGTTTCTGCCAAGGAATAAAAAATAAAAAAGGTCACAACTCTGACTTTTTTGTCACAATTGTGATTTTATGTCACAATCCAGACTTTTTTCTAAGAATAGCAAATGAGCATCTTGCAATTCTGAATTCAGCTCTCGCGAATCTTTTTTCTAGAACTGTTAGAAAAAAAGTCAAAATTGTAAAATGTTTTTTTTTTTTAATTCCCTGTTGGAAATTGGCTTTCATAAGAACTTGTTGTTCATAAAATGTGTAAAAAAAACAAAATAATTTTTTTTTACTGTTTTAGTTAGGGATGCACCGAATGTTCGGCAACCGAAATTATTCGGCCGAACACCAAAAGAGCTTTTTTTGCTATTTTCGGCCAAATAATTTAACACAATAAGCGAAAAGACCGAATAAATTGTACCGAACAATGACGTGACGCTATCAAATAGCAACCAGTGTAAAGTGAGAGGCGCACACTCTTTATAATGCAACAAACATGTCAGCAGTGTGGAAGCATTTAAACTGTCCGAGAAAGACACAAAAATCATTACAAGCACCGACAGCGAGAGACTGTTTAGTACTGCATCGCATGTCTTCGATGAGAAGAGGAAGGGCTGATTCTTGCTGGTTACTGTATGATGATTGAAATCGCAAAATGGCTTTAAATAATTAGTAAATAAACTTCAGAATGTTATGTTTTCGCACAAATTGCATGTATTCTGACAGCGCTGCACGAGCTCGCGGCTGATCTGCTTGTTAACCAGGGTTCAAAGTCCAAAGCGAAAATCTGTGCGGGAACAGTGCTACTCGTCAGTTGCTCAGTCCCATTTTTATGAATTTTTACAAGGCATGTGACAATGCGATACGTACGACGTATTCGTAATGAGACTCATTTATAAATCTGCTGCTTGAGGTCTTCCTGCACGTTTCCGCCAAAATAATAGTTGAGAAAAAGCAAGAACTCTTATCAACATTCATAAATGTTAGTAATTTTACAGTAAAAAAAATGCATGCCTGATTCAAGAAGGGGGTCTGATCGCTAAAAAATATTATTTTAGTAACTTATTAATTTTAAGTTAAATTGTGCTTTGTTGGTATAATGTCTGCTAGAATGTAAAAAAATGTTTAGTGTTAAATATTTTTAAATTGTTGTTTTGTAATTGATTTTTTCTTTGAAAAACAAGACAAAACAGTAAAAAGCACATTTTCAATAAATGCAATGAGATACTTCACCACTTAAAAATTATATCTCCACACAGTTTTAAAATGGAAAACAAGTTCATAATGGCTAAGTATACATTATTAATAGTTATTCATAAAACAGTAGTGTTCAATTACACATGTACTATTACAAACGTACCCTCACTGTGCTTGTAACTGGTCTTGCAGTACTCAGTAATGTTAGTGATGTTTACTTATGAAAAAAAGCAGTGACATAACTGCAAAAGTAGTCCTTTACGCTGACAGTATTACTGTTGCGTATCCAAACGGCAGATTTATGCAGAAAATAAAGTGAATTCTTCTCCACTACAAATGTATTCTGCATGAAATTTTCTTTAAATACTGCCCATAATTTGTAAAATAGTTATATTAGTCATCTTATTAATAAAAGGTATTGATAATAAAGATTAAATATTTTCTTTTATTGTATTTTATATATTAGCAACTGGGATGCTGTGCACTGTAAAAATTATTTTTCAAAGAATATTGGAGTATATTCAGTTTTCTACTTAAAAAATGTCTTTGCAATTGTTTTTTTAATGATAATAGCAATTAATGAGTGAAAATTGTTTCGTTATACATACTCCCAGTATGCTTGCAGCTATAAATGTATATTAAAATGACGAATTAAGTGCTACAGTGCATGTGAAATACAATGACAATGATTTTTTTTTTTTTTTGCTTGCTGACATATGACTTCATTGCGTCTGCTGTAAACATAAATTAATTTTAATGTCATAATAAATTGCTACACATCATTAAACACATATCAATTTAGCTTCTACATAGACAAATTAAAACATTAGAGAAGTGTGGCTGTATATAAATATTTCAAGTTGAACAGGCTCCCATTGGAAGTGCTTTGTATTTTAGACATTTTAATTAACAGTGCATCAAACCCAGTGAAAAATATGGATAAATACTGAAGCGTTCTCAACTGTTTGGGCGTGAGTCTCTCAGATATGGGACAAACTGCATTCTGTATGCATTGAACCATAGGCGTAATTTGCGGGTGGGATGGGTGGGACATGTCCCCACCACTTTTTGCCAGGGTCGATATTGTCCCTACCACTTTTTGAAAGTAATTGAAAAATATATTGTGTTTTGCATAAAACAGCGCCTGCCAAATGACAACTACCAGTCTCTTTCTGTTGTTCCAGAACCCAGGAGTGGATTTTGGAGACGTGTCAGAGCGTGTAGCGCTGAGGAAGAAAATGAACTGCAGGAACTTTCGCTGGTACCTTGAGCATGTCTATCCCGAGATGAGAATTTACAATAACACCATCACTTATGGAGAGGTAATAAAGACAAACCAACCCCTTATGCACCTTTAAAACCAGCAAAACCTTTCATAGAAAGGCATGTACTTTCACACGCTGTTAGTTTAATGTCTCTATAATCCTGTGAAGAATCTATCATTCTGTTACAGGTTTTTGGCAGATATTAAAGTAATAATTCACTTTAACAGCTTTCTAAAGATTCTAAGTATATACTACCTGTATATACTATCTACGTGTGTAAGTGTGTGTGTGTGTGTGTGTGTGTGTATATATATACGTGTGTGTGTGTGTGTGTGTGTGTGTGTGTGTGTGTGCATGTATATAAGGTTAATTTAATAAAATCCATTAACCATTACAATTAAAGTGCTAAATTGAAGGTGAATATGTTTTGATTGATTGACTGATTGATTGATCTATTTATTTATTTATTTATTGCTGATTTCTTGCTAAGGTCACTAAGGAAAACTTTTTTCTTGAGTATATAGTAATTTCCATTTGATTACATTATTTACGCAGTTTGCATTTTTGTACCGAATGGTAAAAACTGCAGTTACAGGAGAAATGTAAAGATAATTGGTTTCCATAGCAACAGTGTAGCAAGCATTAGGATTATCTCCAATTTCCTCATAATGAGATTTAATGAGGCCCTTATTAACTTTGGAGTGTGTGTGGGTAGGAGGGATGAGTGTGTGTGTGTGTGTGTGTGTGTGTGTGTGTGTGTGTGTGTGCGCGCGCGTGTGTG